CAGCCGAGATTCTTGTAAGCTTTGAGAACGTCAAGTCGCAAGCAAGGAGGACGCACCGACAGGCGAGAAGAGAAAGTTGGCACAAAGTTTTATCAGGCACTGACTCATACACAGATGAGTCGCGAGTCTTGAACATGGTTCGTAAGGTGGCAGGACAAAAAGCACATTCACTTCCTCTAGTGAACACACAACGGGAGAGTTTGGAAGACCAGGCAAACACTCTCGGAGCGCACTTCGAACCGGTCTCCAGCATATCACACTATAGTGAACGTTTCGACGATACAAAATCAAAACAGAAAAACAAAGATAAGAGCGCAAGCACACAACACATGAGACATACAATGAACCTTTTTGTTTGGCTGAACTACAAGCCTCACTTACTTGCTGCAATAAATCTACCCCACGCCCGGACCGTGTGGCATATGAAATGATAAAACACCTGCCCGCTGAAACCAAGAAAGCTCTCCTCTCTCTGTATAATGCGATATGGTCTTCCGGCGAGCTACCCTCAGCCTGGAAAGAAGCTATCGTTATCCCAATTCTAAAACAAGGCAAGGACCCGGCCTCAGTTTCCAGCTACAGGCCAATAGCATTAACCAGCTCTCTTTGCAAGGTCTTTTAAAAACTGATTACCAGGCACCTAATTCACTTCCTTGAAATTAATTGCCTACTTGACCCATACCAGTTTGGGTTTCGAGAGGCTCGGTCCACGACTCACCACCTTGTCCTCATCGAGGCACAAATTCGCGACGCTTTTGTTCATAAGCAATTCTTTCTTTCTGTGTTCCTCGCTATGAAAAAGGCATATGACACTACATGGCGCTTAGGTATCTTGCGAGACCTGTCACATTTAGGTGTGCGGGGTAGAATGCTGACAATTATCGAAAGCTGCCTGTCCAACCGTACATTCTGTGACCGAGTTGGCTCTGTCTTATCTCGATTGTATGTCCAAGAAACAGGAGTGCCACAAGCAGGTGTATTGAGCTGCACACTTTTCATAGTTAAAATGAATTCCTTGCACCAGTCTCTCCCAAGAAATAATTTTTACTGCATATATGTCGATGATGTACAGTTTGGCTACAAATCGTTCAACATTTCCATGTGCCAATGTCAAGTTCAACTAGGGTTGAACAAAGTATCTCAATGGGCAAACGAGAATGGTTTTATACTCAACGCGCAAAAGAGCGCTTTCTCTTGTTCAACCGATAGAGGGGCCTCCATCCTGAGCCCGACATTGACCTGCACGGTCAACCTCTGGCAGTGAAGACCGAGCACAAGTTTCTTGGTCTCATACTAGACATCCCACAAATCAAGTATTTAAGGACAGGTGCTTAAAAACAATGAATATTTTGAAAGTGTTGTCACGCACTACATGGAGTAGTGACACAAAATGTCCGATGAATTTATATAAAAGCCTCGTACGCACACGCCTAGATTACGGTGCTATAAATTATCAGTCAGCAACACCATCAGCCTTGAAGATTCTCGACCCTGTCCACCATCTAGGCATTCACCACTCTACGGGTGCTTTCCGAACTAGCCCTGTGGAGAGCCTGTACGTGGATTCGAATGAATGGTCGCTCCACCTACAAAGATGTTTCCTGTGTTTTTTGTACTTTTCGAAGGTGAAGGCAGACAAGAAGCACCCTTACCATTTCAGAATTAATGATTTGTCTTGTTCTAGTTTGTTTGAGAACCGTCCTTCGTTTAGGCAGCCCTACGCACTCCGTGTAAGCAGCCTGGCCGAAGAAACAGGTGTGCCTCTTCTTGGACACAGTTTGATGGCTCCTGCAACATATCTGCCACCGTGGCAGTGGCAGCTTATAGACTGTGATGTCTCTTTTGTTCAAGTCACAAAGCACGCACCACTTGCACACATACATACATACTTCCCAGAACTACAACATTGCCCCACCACGGTGGTCTAGTGGCTAAGGTACTCGGCTGCTGACCCGCAGGTCACGGGATCAAATCCCTGCGGTGGCGGCTGCATTTCCGATGGAGGCGGGAATGTCGTAGGCCCGTGTACTCAGATGTGGGCGCACGTTAAAGAACACCAGGTGGCCGAAATTTTCGGAGCCTTCCACTACAGCGTCTCTCATAATCATATGGTGGTTTTGGGACGTTAAAATTCACAAATGAAATGATCCTAGAACTACAACATAAATACACATGCCCTAAGTTCATTACCGATGCGTCAAAAGCAAACACTTCTGTGTCATATGCAGCGGTGTGCCAATCTTTTTCCGAGGTCGGCTTTCTTCATCCTGATGCAAGCATTTTCACAAGAGAAGCTTACGCAATACTGGCGGTCGTAAAACACATCAAACAGATAATAGTACAAAAGGCGGTAATATACACAGATTTCCTAAGCGTAGTCAAAGCCCTAAAAACTCCTAAAAACACAAGAACCCCGTTCTGGTGTCACTTTACTCACTTCTGTGCACACTGTACACATCAAAACAGCATGTCGTTGTCTGCTGGGCTCTAGGGCACCGTGAGATACAAGGGAACGTTTTGGCCAACAATCTGGCTGCTTTCGCCAACGACACTACTCCCAATGCATCAATACCGATCCCTGCACTTGACCTGAAACGTTTTCTAAAACAAAAGCTCAGGGGGTATTGGCAGAGCACGTGGGATAAACACACAGATAATAAACTCCATGCTATTAGGCCCCAACTAGGTTACTGGCCGCCACTATCCAAATCACGACAAACAGAAGTAACACTAACAAGGTTCGACCAGGACATACATACTCTACACATTCATTTCTTCTATCTACCGGCAATCCACCATATTGTGAGAGATGTGGAGAACCCCTTACGGTTCTCCACATTCTTGTCCAGTGCAATGAGCTAAATGCTTTAAGAAAAAAGCATTTTTCACTGCCCTACCAACAGCAGCTCCCACTACACCCTGGGATGCTCATCGGTAGCGATCCGCTTTTGAAACTGCAAACACTTTTTACGTTTTTAACAGATGTGCATAGCTTTCACCCGATATTTCGAGGCCATGCGTAGCACGACCTCTGTACCGTGGTCATGGCTGTGATGACTACATCTTCATCAAAGTTTTATTATTATGACATTTTGCCATCCACTTTCACTACCCATATCTCATGCCACTGTCATGATTCTAATACTTCTATGTTTCAACCCGCGTCAGCGCGAGGAATTTCAAGGCCCCTTTACAGCCACGCATCATAACAATGCTCATATCTCCAGTCAATTAAAGTGGCGCTCATTGGCTCTAAATTGGCCCTTGTGCCATTAAAATCTACTCATCATCATCATTGGTAACAAAACAATGTCCAGTATTTCCTTTCCCATTCAACTCGTGATGAGCATGGTCTAATGTTGGCGAAAGGGTAGCAAGGGCTAAGGCTTGCGAAGGTTGGTTGATTGGGCAAAAAACGGATAACTGCGCCGATTTGGAAACAAACAAAAAGACAGGCGAGTATAGGCGTTGTCGTCTTAGCTTTTTTGTGTTCATAAAAAATTAAGCACTTTTTTGCCTTCGTTGATTTCAAAGGTTGGCTAAAGCTTCCTAGTGATTCCTAAAGTTCGCTACATGTTGCAAAAAGTTTCAGTTGAAGCCTCCTGTGATTAACGTACTTTGCCGGTGATGTCTTCGATAAAAACTGTCGGTCCACAAGAGCGTGAAAAAACTCAACATTCTAAGATGGGTCGGTCATATACGTATCTTCATAAATCATTTTCCAGTAATTGATGCTTCCTCGATCTTTAGTTTGTCAAAGAGAAGTCAATATAGTGGTGTGATCAACCGAGTTAAATGCTCATTTCACTTTGCGAAATTTCATACTTGCACTGTACTTCTTGTACTTCTGCTACTGAATGCCGAGACTGGAAGGTTAGTCATTTACTCTGTCATTTACTAGTCGCTCGACTAGTCAGTACCCCGTAACTTCGCCGAGGCAAGAAGGAAAGAAAAACAGATTAAAAAAAATACTTGTGCTCGGTCTGGCACGTGCACAATCAAAAAAGGGGCCCAGAATTTTCGAAATGAAGTCCAACTGGTTTTTAAAGTTGAAACATACCGCTTTTGGTATGTTGTGAGCTATACGCGAATAAGACTTGCTTAAATGAGTGCGTTCTTGGATAGAAGTATATTATATTACTTAAGCAATAAGCGCTAATTAATGTGGCCTAATACTGGAGGGCCTTCAGGCCCCTTGAAGCTGCTTACAACAGCTTTTTGCTTGAAGGACCCCGAAGAATGTGTAACTAAATGTTGGAAATAAGAGGTTTGATTGATTCATTCATCCATCCATTTATTTATTCACTCGTTCATTAAATTCAGCCTGGTAGTGTTTATGTAAGTTGTAGGTAGAGGCGAACGTTGGCCGATTCTGGATTATGTGCTAACTATAACAAAGTGTTATTGCGGGCTTACTCTACGCTAGTATCGACAAGTCTACGCTATTGTTTACTACATGAGGGATAGACTGACTAAATTTCGGCTACGTTTAGCAGCGGGAAATGATGTCAGAGTGCGTGACCTATCATGAAACTATTGAGTCAAAGAGAGGTCAAATGACCCACCTCGCCGTCTTCGCAACAGCAAGACTATGCTCACCTGCTTTTCAATGCCTCGAACGTTATTGAAATATAACGCGGCAACATTTTATCGGAACTCCGGCCCGAGGGCAAGAAGAGTGTATCCTCTGTCACCCTTAGCCTTCTAGATGCCGTACTTCTATAAAAGACAACATACAGCGCAAGCAGGAACACATGGTTTAGTTAACTCTACCCCTCAGTCAATGATTTTCACGTCCAAATGTACGCCACGATTTGTACACAACCTAAAGTACCGCGCGCGCTGCAGGAAGTTGTGACAAAGCAGAGCTTAACTAGCGGGAGAGTGAGGCCAAGTAGAACATGGGTAGCACTCGACTATCATGCTGTCAATCAGCATAATCTTCTATACTTTCAAGCTAACACTTAGGTATCTAATATGATGGTGTTCTTTTCTTCTAGATATATGTTCATCTTGATGATGTCCTAGCTGTCTCCGATATTAACGCTGATGGCGTGCTCGAGTGTGTGGAAGCTGTGCGCACAGAGTACCAAACGCAACCAAAAGTGGCGACATACCTGTTCTTATTGAAAGGCCACCACGGTACAGAAAAGTAAGGAAATTCACTTTCACATTACGCGCGTATTATTGATTTGGCTTCATCATACTCTGTCAATACAGTCGTATATGTATGATCTCAGCACAATATTGCGAGCATATTTTAGCCAAACTGATCATGGTTAAAATTTGTGGTACCGAAGGCTTTCCCAGAGAGAACCTAGAAGCAAATAACCCTTTTCTATCTACATAAATTAGTTTGACAGTGAGTGATCTTTACGACATTTCATTCCATTTCAGAAAGAATGTCTCTGTCCATATCATCCCCGGCACCACACCTGACAAAATCACCATTTATTTTGACAACAGTGAGTAAAATTTTAAAGCACCGAGGTACTTGCTATGCTTGTAGTTACTTTCTCTAGAACTTACAGATATTATGCTCATACTGAAAAGTATCGCTAGAATAGAAATCACTTGTTTTTTTGGTACTCGGAAAAAGTTTTACTGTCAACAAATTTTTAAACGCTAATTTTAGGTGAACTGAGTGTCTCGGATTGGCGCACACACACTTGAATCATGTCCTCCAAATGGATGACCATAATTTTTAAGTACATGTTTAGATTTGCGCTAGAACCATTTTAACAGGTAGCAGTTAAGACTATTACTTTCTTAATTGATACCAATGCTGATAGTTGGTTGGGTTAAGGGTGTGCGCTTGAATGTGCACATCAGAATTGCGGCCAATGCTAAAAAAACACACACAAATCTAGTTCGCTACCCTAAAATGAGGAGTAGAGGCAATGACTATCGGCAAAGCGGATGGGTTCCAGACGACGCTAGCGACGGTCTTACTATGAATATAGTGCATGTTCGTATTGGACAGCCCATTGCACCACAGTACAAAATGCCACATTTCTATGCGCTATATGTGCATGACGGAATGGTAGCGATGTACGTCACTGCCGATACAATTGCGACGCTAGTATGAACGCATTCGTACACTTGAAATTCTTGTAGAGTACTGGTGTCACATCAGAACAGTTATCCAGTGCAATCTGATATTCGTGACAACACTAATACACAATTGTACAAAGATGAAGATTTTTTTCAGGAAAAGCTGTACGCATCATGTCCGCAGAAGAAAGAGTTGCTGCAAGTTTTTTTATCAAGCTGTGTTGCGCGGAGACAAACAAAAAGTCGAGCTTGGTTGTCCTGACCATTTTCAGTCCATTGCAGTCGAGATGGTAGTTTGTTTTCATCACAACCCGAGTACACATTTTCTCTAAAAACATGAACGAAAGTAATGCAAAAAATGCAAATCGCTTAAGTACCTAAAGCTCAGTAGCTAGTTTTCAGATGTCTATCCAACGAGAATTATCCGTTGCGAAGCGTCGTAATAGTTTTGATCAAGTGTTATATTAGTGATATCGATTTCCTTCTTGCGTATTCGTTTCTGTAATCATTCAACTATCAGAATAAGAAAAAAGCTGTGGCTCGTTTCATTTTCGGTCTTGTGTCGTACGTGGCCACCTATGCAGTGGGCCTGCAGCACAACTATTGTACAAATGCACCGTAAGTGTCTGCGTTACTGCGACATAGTGCAAGCAGGCTGACAGAGGAATCTTCGACAGCTCCTACGAGATCACTGCTTATTCCACACTTACCAGCATGAGGCAGCCAGTGTCGTTAACCACAGACGGTTTCCGCAGATCATCCCTTCACGTCGCAGTGTGGTGTGGGCCGACAACCACGATGCAGCCAACCCCGCCCACCAGAAATATTGCCGTCAACTGTGCGCGCTCGCAGCATGGCCGAGTGTCTGGATCGAGAAAAAGGCTCAGGCTCAGGCGCTGGCAGCTAAGTGAGGGCGAGCAATGCGAAGCACAGAATTCAACAGCTGCGCTAGGATCTGATGCAGTCTCTGTCGTTTATTCCTAAGCCTATTATTATTATTATATAAGTATATACATACTGTGTTTAGCATTTACGAGCCTCTGAGTCAAGAAAGAATTGAGCTGGTAATTTTTTTGTTTGTGTGAATCATGAGGCAAACATGCACGTTACAAGTAACTTCAGTGTCAGCTCTGCACGAGTCGGCGACCGCCTATCAACGCAGCTAAAGCGCCAGAGCTCCTGTGGAAAGCAGCAGCGGCCCCATCTCGCGGCATCTGTGTCAAAGGCTCGGGCTGGACTCCAGCCCGGCCGGTCCAGCCAATAGAGCACTTCCAGTTCACTGTGGGTCTGTCACTCCAAGGTAGCAAAAGCGGGAACTAATACCACGTTATACTTTAAAGTACAAAATGCCTCTGAACAAGAAAGAAAAGTGTCATGCGCTATGCTTTGTTATTACTATGGCATTCAATGCTGTATTAGAGAAGCTTGCGATTGAGGGCGTTACGAGGCAATCATTGATAAAGGTGCAGTGTGTTTACGTAGTAACAGTCAGGGTCACGGTGATGAACGCTTGCCTGTTGGTTCAAAGTACGCACACATAAACTGAACGAGGCGACATGCAATGAAAATGTTTTACATGAAGTATCCTGAGCTAGCTTACCTTACAACATAGTACTACTTAGTAATCACTTCTCAAAAATTAGTTCTTCTTAAGCTTCACCTAGTACAATTAATTATTAATTTTCTAGCTCTTTTACACAGCTTTTCATCCATTGATGGACATTGCGACGGCATTTGATTGCGTCACGTAGTATTTGTCTGGTAGAGAGTCGTTTTTAAATTGCGTAGCTTTCCCATGTATTCAGAAATTTGTTCAGAAAACTATATTAGGCCCACAGATTGTATAATTTACAGGGTTATGTATAATTGTAACAGTATTAGGAAGCATGAATATTCACAAATTGACTATAAACGCTCTTTGTAAAGACAACATTCTTTTTGGGATTCTTCAAAGCAGAAATAAAGGTCTGTCTGTCTGTCTGTCTGTCTGTCTGTCTGTCTGTCTGTCTGTCTGTCTGTCTGTCTGTCTGTCTGTCTGTCTGTCTGTCTGTCTGTCTGTCTGTTGAAACAATACAGGCATCTGTTCAAAGTTTAGGCACTTCCTCAACACCAAGCTATCTTTATCTGGTGACAGCGTTCATACTTCCAACGTTATCAACCGAAAAGCAAATGTTACGAATACCTGGGCGCACCATCAATACGTAAGTATGAGGCTGTGTGTTCTTTTATAGATCCCTGATTCTATAGACGCTATGACGTTTCTTTTGCACTAAGATTTGCATCGTCAATTCTGCTCAAGTTTCTGTTTCCTGACATCACCAGATGGCGTCCACATCTCACACAGCACCTCCTCTATTTTATCAATGCCAACCACATGCAGTCATTTCAACAAAGAAAAGGCACTTTCTGAGGCAAGGCAAAACATATATTGCCGCTTGATGAAATAGAACCCGCTCTACAAGACGTTCCACAGGCTCATGTAGTACAGTTGGCAGAAGACTATCGTCTTTTGAATACTTTTGCATCACATCACACCGATAAGCATCCAATTTTAATTTTTCGCGTTACAATGGTGGCAGTCACTGTGGTTGCCAATGAGGGCAGACGCATCTTACATCGGCTCAGTATTTTTCGTTGTTCCGCTGGCCACTTTCTCATGGTGCGACCATTTCCAGCACATCATCCGGATCGCGAAGTTGCCGAGTATCGACCGATAACGAGTGTCAAGATGGGCAAAGGCTTTCGACAATATTACCGAACCTTTCCTGTTGACCCTACTACGTGCGAAGCAACCCATATCGAGGAGTAGGGCCCACTAGGCCACGGCGGCCTACGCGCCCCTCGGACATGACGGACTCCCGTATGGACGATGAGGCTTCTGACGTATCTGAGAACGATGAGGAGGGTTTCGGCTGGCAAGTTGCTGCCGGCCGACGATCTCGTGCTGAAAAATAGAGCAGCGCAGCGGTCAACGCGGTGCCATGCAACTCGCAAGCGTCCAGTGGAGACGTCACTACTGGCGGTGGCAGGAGAGCTACAAAAGCCACCGGCGCGTTCAAAAATTCTATTGTCAAAGCCTCGAGGATGCCTTAACTGCCAGAGAAACATCACAACATTATATTTCCGACCACGAAATACAATAAATTTGACCAAAGTAAGCACCACGGCTATTAGAACTGCAGTGATCAAGGCTTCTGGCCTGACGGCAGAGCAAGCAAAAGAAAGCATGTTGTGCCCCAGCTTCACGCAAAATATCGTCGTGGTTAGCACGCCTAAATCAGATCATGAGACAAGGTACGTGAGAATCAAGTCCTTCAAGTTTGTGGAAATGGAACACGAAGTCAATGCGTACGAAACGGCCCCACACGCCACTTGCAAAGGTGTGATTGGACGAGACGACATAAGCGGCTCCCAGTTCGCTATAAGCAACCAAGAGTGGACCAGAGGGTGCCACGAAGCTTTTTGGGCCGCGTCAGCATTGTTAATACCCACCACCAGGGATAATAATAAAAAATGATACGCTCGCTGTACGCAGTAACACGCTGATTGGTCAGTGCCCTTTTTGGAACCTTTTCAAAGAGCGATTCCTGGGCGTCTACTTATTCAGATGCAACCCCCTGCTAACAAATAAAAAAACAAAATGATATGCACGTGCCAGCCCGGTTTTGCTGCGTCTACTCGCTAGGCTGTGTGCTCTGGAGCTACCATCAGATCTCGTGAACTGCATTGCCGGGTGCCTCTAACAACAAATACCGTGCATGAGTGCAATCCGCTCGCTTAGCTGCCAATCGCATCAAGACATCGGGCTCAGTCATCGTCCTCTTCGATGAACTGCGCGTGCCAAAGTTTGGGTGCTACGGACCGACGTTGGTGAGATGCTACCTCTACAGGAAACAATTTTATGTGTGCTTCGCTTATGGTAGGATTGAACATCGCTCGGACGTGTGCCCAAAGCCAGACTCTGTTCAGTGTTGAAAGTATGGAGTCCTCATCCCGCCAGAGAACCACATCTGCACATCCATGTGCAAGCTCTGAGGAGGAAGACACCCCACCGGCGACAAAGCGTGCATGAATCGGTTTCAAGTCCCCTATGTGGTACGGGCCCACCAAAGGAAACGCGACAGGTCACGATCGGCCACGAAGACGCCCATGGAGACGCCAAGCCTACAGAAGAGCTTCAGACACCACTCACGCTCTCAGAGCTGCTCGAGATCCTGACGCCGCTCACTACACCGCAAGAAGCGCCACTCCAAGTCGAGAGGAGTGCCGGAGAGCTGAGAAGTCGGAGCGTCTGGTGCCACGTCGCCCACTGGGACTACCTAAGCTGTTAAAGTAAAAGGTACCGTGAGAATTGCTGGTAGCACTGCCGCGCCAGCAGTGACTTACAACAATGATGCCAGAATCGATCAAT